GCTCAGATAGGAAAGTAACTGAGCCATTTGAGCGTCTACATTGTGATTTAGTTGGGCCACTCCCACCATCATTAGGAGGTTCTAAGTACTGGCTTACCCTGATAGACCAGTATAGTAGATATTGTTGGACTTATGCAATAGCTGAAAAGTACAAAGCATTTGAGAAGTACAAAGTTTTTTGCAACTGGGTAAAAACACACCTTAACAAACCTATTAAGAACCTGTTTTCTGACCGGGGCGGGGAATTTGTTTCTGAGGATTTTGAGAAATTCCTGGAAGCGCAGGGGACTACTCATGAGTTATCTTGCCCCCGAAGTCCCTGGCAAAATGGGCTTGTTGAAGTTGTGCAGCGTGACCTGCAGGCAGGCGTTAAAACTTATCTGCATGATGCTAATCTGCCCAAAGTCTTTTGGGCTGAAGCGCTCAATGCCTTTTGTTACATTAGAAATCACAGTTATCATTCTGGTTTAGATGTCACCCCCTATGAGAAGTTGTTTAAAAAATGCCCTAACCTGAAATACCTACGCATTTGGGGTTCAGATGTAATTATGCATTATCCCGCTAAGCAGAAATTGGGTGAGCGTAGTGTTCAGGGAAAATTAATGGGCTACCAGCAGGGGGCGTACAGAATTTACATACCAGCAACTGTCAAATTTCATATTACCAGAAGCATGATACAAACTGTAAATTGGAATGGCGTTGCTGTTTTCCAAGATACTAATGGGATAGATAATACTGAGGAAGAAGAGGCAGCAGCAGCAGGAAATGGTGCTTCTGAATTAATGGAAAAAGACAAAAAGCCTGTTAAATCTGATAATTTGTTTGATTTAAAGTCACAGGCACCCGAGGGGAGGTTAGATTCTCTTGAGTTTTCTGACCGTGAGCTTTAGCCTACAGGCATCTCTTCAGTCTGACAATGATGATTTACAACCTGAAACTAGTAGTTCACTTAGTCCCATTAAGTCTGAGGAGTCTGACTCTCCTTCCAGACTGAGACGTTCAGAGAGAAAGAGACAGAAGCCACAACGTTTTGCAGATGAACATTATAATACTGTGTATGCCAATAAGGCGGTTTTTGAGCCAAAAAGCTACAATGATGTTCAGAATTTACCTAAGCACCAAGCTGTAAATTGGTATAAAGCTATGAACTCTGAGATAGCTTCTTTAAAAGAGCATAACACTTGGTCTCTTGTACCACAAACCCCAGACATGAGACTTATAGATTCAAAATGGGTTTATAGAGTTAAAATGAATGACAAAAATGAAGTTGTAAGGTACAAGGCTAGATTAGTTGCTAGGGGTTTTCAACAAATTCCAGGCGAAGATTACACTGGGCAACAATTTTTTACTTTTTGAATGTTGTCTAGATTTCTACAACTGATTTAGGGTATTTTTGCACTGTTGAATCGGGAAATGGCATCCGTTTCTCTCCATCAGGTCAGGTTTACTGTAAACTGAATGGTGGGCATTGATAAAGGTAAGTACATGTAAACTGCATGTTGCTTCACCATTTTTCAAACTTCAGGGCTTGAACTTCCATTTCTTGGAATTCCTGGAATGCTCAGCGGCAGGGAGGTCTCTCTTCAGAGTCCAACAGTAGTCAGCCATCATGACTGTGTCCCAGCGACTCTGATACCTGGTCTCCATCTCTTTCATGTCCTGATGGAATCTCTCCCCCTGCTTGTCACTCATTGAACCCAGGTTCTCAGGAAACTGGTTCATATGTGAAAATAGGTAGTGCATCTTGACGCTCATGTTGCAGCCCAGGTTTCTGAAAGCAATCAGCATGTTGTTGACAAGTTCTGCATAGTTTCTGGCCTTATTGTTGCCAAGAAAGTTCTTCACTACCAGAACAAATGCCTTCCACGCTTCCAGTTCCACGTCGTTCATTGAGTTTCCGAACTCTGGATCTCTGATGAGCTGACGGATCTGAGGACCATCAAAGATGCCAGCTTCCAACTTCTCCATGGTCAATCCTGGAAAAGCCTGGCACAAGTAAGTGAAGCAGTCACCATCCTTGTCCAGAGCCTTGGTGAACTGCTTGATTAAGCCGAGCTTGATGTGCAGCGGTGGGAAGAGTATTCTGTCTCTGTCCACCAAAGGGTTGTTGATGACGTTTCTTTCTTTGCAAGGCACCAATTCCTCCCGCACAGGCCAGTCCTTCGTGTAATGCTGAGCACGGTCCCTACTATCCCACATGCACAGAAAACATGGGTACTTGGTGAAGCCAGACTGTTGTCCCAACAAAAAGTTCACCATCTTCAGGTCAGCACAAATAAACCACTTATGCTGATCATAACCAATTTTCTCCAGCACATACTTCACCACTTCATAGTTCTCCTTCGGTGTACTCGAGTGAGCCAGGGGTATAGAGGCAAACTGGTTGCCGTTGTGTAGCAGAACACATTTCAGTGATCGCTTGCTGCTGTCAATGAACAGTCTCCAATCTTTGGGTTCGTACTGTGGCACTCCAAGCTTGAGCAGAAGCTGCGCAATATCTGCACAGTACACCAAGTCCTTCTCTTCCGAGAAAAAACGGAGGTAATCTTGATGCCTGTTGCGGAAGAAGCTGATGCGAGCACTGTCAGAGAGGAGATTTCCCCCCTTCAATCTGGATGCCAACAGTTTGGCAGAGTCCTTTGACAAGCTGAGGTCACAAACTAGATCATTCAACTCCTTTTGGGAAAATGGATGTGCATCTTCAAGAACCACTTCTTCTTCATGTCCTTCAACACTGGAGGCATCTTCGTCACTAATGTCAGGAAGTTCTCCAAAGATAGGCACTGTAATTTCATCACAATGAGCTACAGGACGACGTGTGGATTGAAGATCAGGATACTTCGTGGGGTGGCTGCCCCATTAACTTAGTTTTGATCCCCCATTCGAGGTTTTATGACTTCAAACTGATCCCTTTTCGACATAATCACTCAGAAGTATCAGACCTGAATACTTCTTGTCATTAAAATACCTTATTTTTCGCTCCATAGGACACACCGGACCATAGGAGGGGGAGAACAGGGAAATTTTTTTTTCTTGTTCTCCCCCTCTAAAACAAGGTGCGTTCACGGTACATTCACCAGAGCTTGTGGGGCTGGCGGTGGGGGTAAGCGCTGCTTTCCCCCACCGCCAGCCTCAAAGATCCCTGAAGCTTTTGGAGCGCAGTGCCCCGCTGCCCTGCAGAGATTTGCGCGCAGCTGTCCCCAAGCTAGAGCAGCGAGACGGAGCGCTCTGCAGTGCTCCATCTTCCTGTTCTGGCTTTGGGCTTAGCTGTGCAGCCTGCATTCGCTCTATAGGACGCACACACATTTCCCCTTAATTTTGGGAGGGGGAAATGTGCGTCCTATAGAACGAAAAATACGGTAATCATTTCCAATCAAAACAATTATTCGACACGGCATTTTACCCCCACCAACTTCTTCTAAAATGCTCCACACAAGCTGTGAAACATAGCAGGTGCTGCTGAGTTGTGTGTCAGCATTTGGGCATAGTATATAATGAGCAGCAACTAGCTCCCTCATTACCCTGGGGGATGGGTCGGTGGTTGGGTCTGGTTTGTTGTTGATGTATTTAGTGTACAAGGAGTTTTTGTTATTGTTATTAAAACCTTGTTTAAGTTATTTTTGAGTCCCTTTTTAATGCATGGTCTCCCCAGCAAGCTCTCTGCAGCGCTACCAAACTGCAAATAGCCAACAATTTGTTCATAAAAGGCATAAAAAGAGGTTTGAAAGAGGCTGGAAAAGAGAAATAGTCTCTTCAAATAGTAACATTGTCTGTGTGTGTATCTGGTTTCATTCAACCTTAAGAAGATCTCCTCAGAGAGCAGTAGATCTTTTGAGGAATTCTAAGAAATATAATGACTATAAATAATCATAATCATATAAATAAATAATAGAAACTGTAATAATGATCAGGCACATACAAGAGTAAGTCCTATTGAACTCAGTGGGGCTTACATTTGAGTCAGAATGCTGAAGATTGCAGTATAAGACCGCAGAATCTTTACACCGTTACTTGGGAGTAAACTCCATTGAATTCAGTGGGACTTCTGAGTAGTAAAGGCAGTTTAAGGCTCTAAAGAAAAAAATAAAAGAATAAATACTCCACAAGTTTCCTTCAAAAATTGCTGGCTGCTGAACCATTGCAATTAAAGAATTTAAAGTGAATTGGCTACATTTTCCTCCCAAATTACAGGAAGGGATAAATACAAAGAGCTTTGTATGTCAGCATCACATTTCATTCATTGCAGGTATTTTATTTTCAGCATAAAGAGGACTCAGCTTTTGTAGCTGATTGTAGGCAGCAGTGCCCTCTTTACGTATTCATGTGGTGTAAACATGTATGTTGCCTTCTAGAGATCCAAATACACACACACAAAATGAACACACAAGCAAGCCATACTCCAAAGGGCTTCTGTTCCCAAAAGGGCAGGAGGGGTGTTCTGAACTCTTCACCACTTCTAATTCTTCCCTGAGACATTGAGGGAAGCTAAAGAAGAAGAAAGAAAAATAAGACTTTCCCATTTCAACTTTGCTTGGAGACCAACCTCCTCCAGGATTTGTCTTTCGCACTCAATTCAAAAACAGACAGGGGGAAAGGGAATGGGAGATACTTTTCTAGGTTTTCCTATTGCAAATCAGCATCACTCTGGTGCTTAGCAGATGCTTTTAGACTCTGGAACCACCAGGGGGAGCAGGAATCAGAGGAAGCCCCCCCCTCCCCAAGCTGGGATCCTCAAAAGCTTTGGTGTACTTTCCCCAAAAAAGCTCAACAACTTTGGTCAATCCAATGGGTAGATGACTGCCAGTTTATTTATAGTGGGAGTAGATCGGAGTCTCTTGGAAGCTGGACGTTCCTTCTCTAGGTCCCTCCCTGCCTAAATCTCTGACCTCCCTCCCACATCTCCCTTGCCTCCCTCCCACAGTCCAGCCCAAGGTGAAGATCACCCCCACAGACAACGTTGAATCTTCACCACACAACACTCTGCTGATTTGCACCGTGAACCGCTTCTTCCCTGCGGGGATCGAGATCAAGTGGTTCAGGAACGGGAAGGAGGAGCCCAAAGTGTGGACCACGGACCTCATCCGGAACGGGGACTGGACCTTCCATATTGAGGTGATGCTGGAGACAAATCCAGAACGTGGAGACGTCTACACCTGCCAGGTGGAGCACGCCAGCTTCGAAGGCCCCGTCACGGTGCAATGGGGTAGGACGCCTTCCTACTGGGAGTGGGGGGCATTCCTGGGGGGCTGGGTGGGTTGCTCCCCCCTCAGGGGGCTGATCCCAGGCCTGCCTTTCCTCACTCAGGGCTTTTCTTCCTTCAGAGCCACAGTCGGACTCTGCCAGGAGCAAGATGTGGACGGGGATTGTGGGGATTGTGCTGGGGCTGGTCTTTGGGGCCACTGGACTCGCCCTTTACCTGAAGAACAAGAAAGGTGAGGGTGGGGTGCCAGGGGGAGAGGGAGGGTTGGGTGTGGGGCTGGAGTGGGCTCCAGGCTCCCCTCCTCTTCTTAGGCAGAGGCTCCGGAGAGGGTTCTGCTCCTTCTCCACTCCTAGGAGGTCCCTCTTGGTGTCTCCAGTGGAGCCTCAACTATTATGGAGATGGCCTGAGGTTTAAATCTGTAGATTAAGACCTAAGCCTCCTATCCAACATATGAGGGAGAAATTCAAAAGCACAGATGTTTTGCAGCTTCCTGGTCCCAGCAGTAAGTCAAAGGCTCTCCCTGCTGAGCGAAGGCCCTTTGAGACACTTACAGTCAGGAGGCGGAATTCATCTCCCTTGGGTCTTTTTGCTGTTTGTGTCTCTGAAATAAATCAACAACTGGGCAATGCAGACCCCAAAAGAGGCACCTGAAGGAATATGGGAAGGTTTGTGTGGTGGGGGTAATGGGGAAGAGGTTAGTTGGCAAGATGTTCCCCAGGGTCCTTTCTGTATTGGGAAGGAAATATTCATTTCCTACAAAGACTCTTCTTTCACCCCCTCATACTCCTTAGGACAGAATGGGGGGGGGGAGTTCTTAGCTGTGTTTTTGTTATACTGATGTTGGGGGGGGCGTGTTCCCAGAGATGCTATTTCAGGATATCTGGTGCTGACTGAATCTTTCTATTCTTTATTTTCTCTCCCAGGGCAAACTGTTCCTCAGCCTGCAGGTAACTTTCCTCTCTGCTCTTCCATCCTCCTCCTCCTCCCCCAACCCCCTTCTCCTGGCTGCTTGCTGTGCCCCCGCCATGGCTTCCTTGTAGAACAGAGGGGAGGGGCTTTCTATGGATCGATCCACCCCCGATGCACACACCCCAATATCATGTCCTGGAAGGGGGTCTCCAGGGGAATGTCCCACCTGGGAGACAGTCAAGCAAAGTTCAAGGCCAAGTGAGTAGACCAGGGCTAGTGTTTGGCCCTTGGGGGACAAAGCTCTTCTGCCCATTGCAGGGCATCTATTCCCGGGGGGGGTCCTTTTTCGCCCCAAGGGCTGCATCCCCTCCTTCCGGGGACCACAATTTCCGTATTGCTGAGTGGATTACTTTCTGCCCCTCTCTGTTCTTGGTTCAGGCAAGCAAGGGGCATCCTCAGAGTTCAAGGGAGGTGGAATCACTCATGGAGGGTTCAGAGCAGAAAGAGAGGTGTGGGGGCCACATTTGGTCCAGGATCCGTGGTTCCCCATTTCTGATCTAGACAGATCTCCTTGGTCTCTTCTGAAGCTCCTCTTCTCCACTGCCAAAGCCAGCCAAGTCTCCCTCCCTCTGCCTCCTTCCCTCCTCAGAGCCCCCCTGCCAGACCCATAACTGGTGGCGATGGAAATTGTAGTTCAAAATATCTGATGGCCGCTCTATGGAGTGTCCCCCCCCCATCTTGCCAGGGATTCTTCTGCCCCTTTCTCCCCATTCCTCACCCCACAGTGATGGGCTTGTCTCTCTCTTCTCTGCCTGCAGGACTCATCAGTTAGACTTCGCTGCTCCATCAGGATCCGGGGATGTGGAGAAGCTCTGTTCTTCCTGCCAGTTGCCCTCTGTCCATGCTCAGAGGTGGAAACCTCCTTGGAAGGTGGATGGAAGGAGTCACAGATCAAGAACGACAGTGTCCACCCCTCTCCCACCTCTGTTGCTTGCTTGTCATTTGGGGAAAGTTTCTTTTTCTGTTTCCCTGTCCGCTTATTGATTGCAAGTTATGGCAACCTGATTCCTTCTTTGCACCTCTCTGCTCGAGAATTTGTGCCTTGAATCTCCCTGGAGGAGCCTGAGCTGTCCCTGAAAACAGCCATGAATCTGGTCAGACTGCCAGGACTGGTCCTTCAAGCCCTGATGGGGACCCTGATCCTTGAGATTCCTCATTGCAGGAGGTTGGGCTAGATGACCTTGGGGTCCCCTCCAATTCTACGATTCCATAAAATGCTAAATGCCCAAATATATTTATTGAAAGCTTCTCCCCACAGCCCTGCGACACGGAGGATGAGTCCCGTTTTTGGAGAGAGTCCCTGCTCCCCATCCTCACCCTGCTGACTTTATCATGCATAGTCTGTCACCTGGCATCGCCCGGAGGAAGGGCTTGGCAGAGCTATTTGACCGGATTAGGGTCTTGACACCTTGCTTGAGGGATTATGGAGGACAGGGGAGATGTCATGGGGTCCTAGAGAAATTGAGCAAATTGGCACGTTGATTTTCTATGAATTTTATAGATTTTAGTCCCTTTTGACATTGACAATTGGAAATAAATGGATATATTGTAGCGAAGAAGAAGGTGAAGAAGACATGCCCCCCTTCTGTATCAATTTATTTATTAAATTTCTATACTTCACCTGTAGATTTCAGGGCGGTTCACAATGTAATGGCAGAGGAGGAAGCAGTGCCATCAAGCTCACACTAAGACAGGGAGAAAACGCTACAAAATCTGCAGACGAGAAGGGATTTCCTCAGAGAGAAAAAGACCCAGGCATCACCAACCGCAGGCAGGTTTGGTCTGCAGAAGAGAGGGATTGTAGGGGTTGGACTAGATGACCCCTGAGGTCCCTCCAACTCTACAATTCCATGAGTCTCTGAGGAGGAAAAAGGCCTCAGAGCCCCTGCTTGGTCCTCCCAGGAGCAGGCCTCGTCCCAGATACCAGGGATGAAATTTGGGAGAGGCCCTTTGATGATCTTAGACTCTTGGGACCACGTGCCCTTGGCAGACTCTCCTTCTTCAAATGGTCCCATTTCAAGGCAAATGGGCCCTTTCACATTCACAGGACCTGCGGCTCTTTCTGCTGAGGGGGGCCCTGGCCCCCCTCCCCACACAATACTTTGCTGAAGGTTCTCCTTTGCTTCTGCCTTGAGATCCAGGAGAATGTTTGCTCTTTTGCTGAGAGAGGATCCGCAAAAAGATCCCATTTCCCCTTCTAAAGAAACCGTGACAACGGCAAGGCTGGGCCTTGTCTGCCAGTCCCTGTGATGTCCCTGCAGAAGCCTTGGCCCCAGAAGGGACGCCTCTCCCAAACCCCTCTCTGGGGGGTCATGTCCCTCCTGGAGCCTCTTGCCAGGGGGAGGAAGAGCTGGACGACTCTTTTCGATTTTTGGAAGGAGGCATTTCTGCAAGGCACACACAAAACAGGGGCAGAATGGGGAGAGGAGGAGAAACACCAGATCCAGACCCCCGAAAGCAGTGACTCCTTCCCTGGAGGGACATGTTCTGTGCCCCTGGTCTTCCACTGGTGGGTCGCAGCCTGATCCCATGTGGGCTGAAACAGGAGCCCTGAAACCTCGCAGATCTAAAGATGGAGAACTGCATGTTTGGGTTGAAAGGGGGTCTGGGGTCTGGAAAGGTTGAAGAGACCTGTCTCTGCCCCACAGCCGACTCATGAAGGAGGTCTGGCCAGTCTGACTGGGCCACATCCTGGCCTTGGCTGACCTGAAACACACCCCACCCTCTCCTGTGGGTTGTGCCCCATAGCCTTGAGGACTTAGAGGGATCTCTGCCCGTTCTCCCCTCTTCCTCCTCCCTCCTGCCTTGGGAACAGATGACCCACTTTGCTCTCCTGACGCAAGAGGGAGGGGGCTGCTCTCCAAGGAAATCTCCCCCCACCTTGAGCCAAGGAGCCCCTATTCCCCTAGCAGAGGGTGCTATGGGGCTTGCCCAGCCCCACTCCATTCAGCTCAGCCATTCCCAAGGGGGTCCTTCCCTAAAATGGCAATTCCTCTTAAGCCATTGCTGCTGGGCTGAAGGGGGGGGCTGTGCTGGGGGGGGGGCCCTGGAAGCTACTTCTCTGTGAGGAGGTTTTGCTGCGCTCCCGGTTGACCTCCGTCTCCTGGATCGTGGCCAGCTTCCCTCTTTCATTTCCCCGAATGCTGAGCTGTGCTCCAGGCCCCCATGTGGGGGGAAGCAAAACTCCCCCCAGCGCCTTCTTTCTGCAGCGTCTCCTCTGCTGCCAGAAACAAGGGGGCAGAAGGAGGGAGAGGTGGGGGAGGGAGACATGTGCTATGGGCCCAGAAGTCCTGTTTCTGTCACCAGGGAGCAGGCTGGCTGGATCCTGCCCCTCCTGTCCAGGGACCCCCTTGCCCCCCTCCTCTTGGTCCCCTTTTTGCAGGGAGGTTATTCTGCTTCTCCTTCACATTGGGGAGAGGGCAGTAAAAACATGAAGCTGCAGCTACAGTGGAGCAGTCCTTTCTCCCTTTCTCCCACGGGAGCAGTTGTGGAATATAGATCTGAAGTTTACAGCCTCAGTGCCTCTGGGGGTCCACAAAACCCACATTTCTCACACCCAGTTTGTCCCCTGGCAGCCCATCCCTGAGCATCTTGTATTCCGAAGAGATTTTGACCCAGACTTTCCTCCTCTCTCTCTCTCTCTCTCTCTCTCTCTCTCTCTCTCTCTCTCTCTCTCCAGCCAAGGTCCTTCTCTGTGGAAGTGACTCCTCCACTCTTAAACTGAGCCTTTGCCCTCAGGTGTTGCTGCTCTTTTGTGCCACCACCAGGAACTGGGCCAATGTGCAAATCCAGTTCTGGGATTGGAAGCTCATGTACAGATAACCTGCAACCGTGGGCGTAGCCATGATTGTGGTTTTTTTTGGGGGGGCAGGCCTTTTGTTAGGGGGAAGAACCTCAGTTTGCTTTGTATTTAAATTGATTTTTATTGATTAGGGGCAGCTGTCCAACCCTCCCCCCATGGCTGTGCCCATTCTTACAACCTATTTGACTGGTCCTTTTTTGAAGCATTTTTTTCCTTCAGAAAAACGAGAAGCAGAGAATTCCCACTATGGGGGGGGGGCAGAGTGCTGGGGAAAAATTGCCTCCTTCTTCTTTGAAGCAAAACGCAAAATGCAGAGGCTGCCACAAGCTCACAGCTTGCAAACGTTGTTGTTGGAACATGAAGAGTCTGCCATTTGCAGTTTTGCATTTAAGCCCAGAAAAAGAGTATTGGCTTTCACATTTTACATGGGATGATTATTGACAGTGGGGAGAGGACAGCCTCTTAACGCCCCCCCGGTAATTCTTTGAAGTGGGTCTTAAAGCCAGAGCTCCTCCAACTGATGACTTGTTTAAAAAGTTCCTGTTTCGAGGGAACCCAAATGTCACAATCTCCACTTCTGCCTTGAAGCACAAAACAGGGTTGGGGGAGGGGTAAAGCAGAGTTGCTATTGCTGTTGCTTGGGTGGGGGGGGCGTCTATAGGGTTGTCCTTCTGGGGACTTTCCTGGAGGGGAGGCTTGATGGGAGCCAATCACAGGTCCCGACACTGCCTGGCCATCGGTTGCTGCGCAGGAAATGCGTGGCTCTTGCCAAAGTGACTTTTGGGGCTCAGCCCTCCTTCTCTGGAGGCCCCTGTTCACTTGCACCAGACCAGACTTATCCCAAATTAGAGAAATGTTGCCATACTGAAGGATCACTGCTCAGGGGCCCCTTCTTGCCCACTTAGGGTCTCTTGGCAATGCTAGACTCTGTTGAATGGTTTCTTTAAAGGTTCATCATTGTTCCACCTGATGTGTATGTCTTTAAGGGGCCAGAGCAAAATAACAAGACCCAGCTTTACAGCTGTGAAACATAGCAGGTGCTGCTGAGTTGCATTGATTAAGCTGTGTCAGCAATTGGGTGTAGTATATAAGGAGCAGCACCTAGCTCTCCCATTACCCTGGGGGATGGGTTGGTGGTTCGGTCATGTTTGTTTGTTGATGTATTTAGTGTAAATGGAGTTTTTGTTTTTGTAATTAAAACCTTGTTTAAGTACTTTTTGAGTCCCCTTTTAATGCATGGTCTCCCCAGCAAGCTCTCTGCAGCACTACCATACTGCAAATAGCCAACAGACTCTTACCCCCCCCTTACTGGTACCATGTGTTACTTCAGCTGCTTCCAGATGTGGAGAGTCAGCCCTGCAGCCTTGAGGGGCCTCCTGCTCCTTCTGCCGACTCGGGCCCTGGCCTTCTGCCCCTAAGTCTTGCCCTGGTGGCACTCCTGCCCTGCCCCTCTGCCTTCTGCCTTGCTGCATTAATTGACCCCCCCCCCCAATTTGGATCCCCCTCAACTGAGATCCAGAAGAAGGTATGAGATTGCACAGCAAGCCGGGTCTTGTCTGTTGGCCTCTGTGATGTTCCTGCTCAAGGTTTGGCGCCAGGAAGGACGCCTCTCCCAAACCCCACTCGGTGGTGTCATTTACCTTCTAGAGACTCTTGCAAGGGGGAGAGAAAGAGCTGAACAACTCCTTGCATTAATTTATTTTAATAAGGCACACAAAAATAGGGGCAAGACAGGGAGCTACCAGCAAAGAGTGAATCCTTCTCTGAGGGTTTTAAGGCATGTTCCAGGCAACACAGGCAACTCATGGAGGAGGTCTGGCCAGGCTGACTGGGACACATCCTGACCTTGCATGTCCTGAAACACACCCCTTCCCTTTGGGTTGTTCCCCCTGGCAGAAGACATGCAGTCATGCACACTGCATTTGGAGGGGGGGGTCTCTGCACATTTCCTCCCTCTTCCCCCCATCACTCACTCCAGTCTCAGGAAGAGCAGGTGCTTTGCTCTGATGAGGCATTTTAGGATAGGAGGATGGGCTGTTCCGTTTCTCTCCTCTGTTCCCCCAGAGTGGGAATCCACGGGTCCTGTGGGATAATGGTTTGGGGCATCACACAACCCACAGCAGGCCCTGAGGATCGGAAGAGTTGGGTTATCAAACTGATAATGGTCCCTTTGCACCAGTTGGCTCACCTGGTCTTCTTTTATCTCCCAGAATGTGGCCATAAAACACGAGGGGTCAATATAGAAGAGTGTGGAAGAAGAGTTTGGATTTGATATCCTGCTTTATCACTCCCCTTCAGGAGTCTCAAAGCGGCTAACATTCACCTTTCCCTTCCTCCCCCACAACAAACACTCTGTGAGGTGAGTGGGGCTGAGAGACTTCAGAGAAGTGTGACTAGCCCAAGGTCACCCAGCAGCTGCATGTGGAGGAGCGGAGACGTGAACCGGGTTCCCCAGATTACGAGACTACCGCTCTTAACCACTACACCACACTGGCTCACCACTCTGATTCCAATGCTGCCCATTTCCTCAATGGTTCACCTTTTTGCTTTGAAATACTGTAATAAATATATCCAGAGCTTTTAGGCAGAGAAAACCGCACTAGAAACAAATAAACAAACAAAGATTTATTCATTGCTTTTGAAATATGGGCGCATGTATGAAAAACAGCAATTGGGCTACACAGAAGCCATTGGGAAAGAAGAAGAGATTGCGGAAGAAGAAGGGATATTTTCCTCTACATAGACAGATACAACCCTGCTTTATGTGGACGAGAAAGGAGTTTGGCAACTCTAAGCAGCTAAACTTCCCCCAAAATATGGATGAATCCTCTTTGGGATCAACGAAACACCTGAGGGGTGTATTCCTGCAGTGCTAAGTGGGGTGGAGATATGAATTAGAATGCCTGACCCTCTGTTGGCAGGGGGTCTCCTTGGGGTATGCAGATTCAAGGCGAGGCAAAGCAGGAAACCCCCACAAAAAACTATCCTGACTCAACCATGGAGTTTGTGGGAGGATCGGCAGCCAAACCACAAGCAGAGGCTGGATGCCCCTCTGTCAGAGATGATTTAGCTGAGATTCCTGCACTGCAGGGGGCTGGACTAGATGACCCTTAGGGTCCCTTCCAACTCTACAATTCTATGATTCTATGAAGTGCACAATTACTAGACAGCCAGAAGCAAAGGCAGCAGGGAGTTTCAGAACCTGCATAGAGGGAGCTGTAAATGTTGTACCATGGCAAGACATATCATGTGAGTAAACCATATACTTTTCTTATTTACTTAAACAGTCTGAGCAATTTCTTTGCTAAGAGGGAAACATAAAAGGGAGAAAAGTAATGTAAGTCTGCCTAAGCATCTTTGGCTATCATAATTGTTCTTAAAAGCTAAACATATTATCAGAAAAGCTTCTAAGGATAAGCTGCACACGGAGGAAGCAACTCCTTCCAGCTGATTCATAGCAGAAGAGACTCTTGTCAAAGGAGCTGAGCTGAGAGGGTTTAAGGAAGAGGCTGTCAGGAAAGGAATCCCCCATTATCTGAAAAGGAAGGAGAAGGGAGCTGGTGAGCTGGGAGTATTGAGGCTGAGCACCTTCTGGGCAGGATGAGGCCCACCCCACCCCTTTGCTGTGTATTTTGGCTTCCCTTGCATTTGTCTCTGAGCCCATGAAGGGAAACGGGTTCGACTCACATGAAGCCCCTGCGATCGTTCATCCTCATGGCCTTGAAGAAAAGGATGGTGCCAGCGATGATGCCCAGGATGCCAAAGGCCAAGCCCAGGGCTCACAGCACGTTCTCCATCGTCTCCGGGATGGGAGAGGGCGCCTTGGAAACTGGGATGGAGAGAGAGAGGGACAGGGCTAAGGGGGACTCTGTTTCTCTGTGTGTGTTCAGCGGGGAAAAAGAACCCAGGAGTCCTGACACACCCGCCCCACAGCCCTTAATACCCACTTTTCAATTAAACTGAGAGAAACTAACTCAAGGAACCCCCAAAAGGCAGCTGAGCACCTTTTTGTCTCCTATGGCTAGAAGGAGCAGAATAAATTATGCAAAACTGCAAATGTACTTCACTTGCATAAATCACTCTGATCTTCAGAACTTGTTTCTTATAATCCATGAATCTGGGTTTCTGAGTTCAAGTCCCAGAGAAAAGCCCCAATCCTGCCCGGTGCTTACCCCAGATCTTCTCCATCTTTCCCTCTGGGATGCCCCAGTGCTCCACCTGGCAGACGTAGATGTTGTGGAGTTTGGAACTGGCAGGGTTAAAACTCCGTGGTGCCCTGTATCTGGGAGGAGCTCTAGGAGGAGCTTGATGCAGGGAAATGCGTCACAGTGTGTGTCTGTGTTCAGTTCTACTTTCACTTCTGACTGAGACTGACACAGCTCAGCTCAGAGGAGCTGTGAGGGTGCTTTTGGAAGCACGGAGAATGGCTGAAGTTTCCGATGGATGTTAATGGATTTATTGCCTTGTAAATAAACGCTTCTAAAGATAAGAACCGATCTGCCTATGGACTTGATTTATCCCTTTCTCACATGGACTCAGGACCGCTGCATTACTCTGCTAGGCCAGCTCAGAGCTTCCAGGGATACGGAGCTGAACTGGGAAGCTTGCTGGACCCAATATTCCGGACGGGGATTTTATTTTCACCCCCAGAGGTTATGGATCTTACGTGTTTCCTGACATGTGTGAGAAGGGAGGAAAACTGCCAGCTTTGAGTTGCTGTGATCTCCTGCCAGGAAGGGCAGTGGGAGATGCTGGTGATCGGAGCCAAGAGCCAAGATAGACGGCTGCTTCGGAGGACCAGCTTGCTGGCAGAGTGAGTACGCTTGAAGCCCCGGGGGGAGGAGATGGCTGCTGCTCAGGCACAGGGCCATGAGAGCTTCAATATCCCCTTCGAAAGGCTGCATGAAGCCAATTGGGAAGCCTGGAGTACACGCATGTACTACTGGCTGGCAGAAAGGAAGCTTTGGGACTACACCCAAGCTGATCCAGTCCTTGCCCAGCCCAGTGAGAGGTCTGCAGGAGCAGTGGAAGCAGATGTGGCTGCTCTGAAGAGAGAGCAAAGGGTGCTAGCAATCCTGAGGGCCGGCGTTGATACTTGGCTGTTGCCAAGGCTGCAAGGGAGTAAGCCCTGGGTCGCGTGGCAGGCACTGAAGATGGCATGTCAAGCCTCAGTGGGAGCCAGGCCAGAGGGGGCTGAGAGTTGCCCAGAGAAAGCATCAAGCCCAGAGGGGGCTGGAGCAGTGTTGGAAAGCTGCTTTTATGCTTCAACACATCTGTGTGATGGACTGTGTGCTGGAGAGAGGCTGAGAGCTGGCAAGAGGAAGGCAGTTGCAAGCTGTTCCTCAGGCAGACAGGCACCCAACAGTGGGGGTGCAGGCCATGCAAGCCGATGCAAGAGCTCTGAGAAAGCGAAAGTCTCCAAGAGTTGTTTGTGCTCTGAGGCGACGTCCAACAGCGCTGGGAAGCATCCGCTGGAAGCCCAGGCTGTCAAGGACACCAGCTGGAGTGGAATGTCAACAAAGCAGGTTCCCAGAGCTAGACGTGGGAAAGCTGCAGGCCAGGAGAAAAACAAAGACAAGGCGTCTTATCACCTCACAGCTGCGACAGTGTGCCTGGGAAAAGGCAAAAGCCTTGATCGGGGGGAGGCTGTGTGCATGGCAACCAGACAGAACACTGACTTTGACTCTTGCAGAGGCCCCGGTGGGGGTGCGAGCGTTGCCATGGCAGCTTTGGAAGACAGCCAGAGAGACACTGTATCTCTAATTATAGACACGGGAGCGACTCACTGTCTTGTGCCATCTGCTGGGCTCCTGAGGAACTGCAAGACAGTTAAAACTGGACGTTATGTCAAAATGGCAGATGGAGTTAAAAGACCACTGACTAAATCTGGGTCTTTATATTGTTCTTTTCTAGATTGTTGGGTGCAAGCTTATGTTGTCCCAGAGCTTGCGCACTCTCTTTTAAGTGTAACAGCCTTAAATGATGAAGGGTTCGATGTTCGGTTCTCTAACAAATTATGCTCTTTTTACAGGGATGGAAAGAAGGTCTACAGCGTTGAGAGAACAGACAGGCTCTTTCTGGTGCAGATGCCTGTTGGAAATGGGGCTGGTGGAGAAGTGGGACTAGTGGAAAATGGGACTGGTGGAAAAATGGGGCTGGTGGAAAATGGGGCTAGTGGAGAGTCCATTGAAGACGCACAAGTGCAGTGTGCTAATGTCCCACCACACAATGATTGTATTCATCTGTGGCACCGAAAATTTTGTCACGCTGGGTGGTCGTCTGTGCGAAAAGCCGCAGAGAACACCATTGGTTGTAGGTTCAAGGCATGTGACAGATACCTTGATTGTCAAGCCTGTAAGCAATCTAAGGTCACAACATGCTCATACCCCAGGTCAGAGAGGCGAACCAGCAAACCCTTTGAACTTGTGCATGCAGATTTGTCAGGACCCATGCCAACACCTTCTTTAGCTGGGTCGAAATGGGTTTTGGTTCTGATTGACGATTTTTCGAGGTTTTCTTGGGTTTTTGCGCTTCAATGTAAGTCAGAAGCAGCTGCACTGATCAGAGATTGGATCACAGCGATAGAGCTGCAGTTCTCTACCAGGGTGATTTCCTTTCAATCTGATCGCGGGGGTGAGTTCACAGGTTCTGCGCTGCAATCGTTTTTCAGGCAGAAGGGTATCGGTCATCGATTGACTGCCCCCTACAGTCCGCAACAGAATGGGATTGCAGAGAGGAAGTTTCGCACACTACAGGAATCAGCAAACGCAATGTTGGCAGATTCGGGGTTGCCACAGCGTTTTTGGGCTGAGAGTTATCGGACAGCATGTTTTGTGCAGAATAGGGTGTACAATTCCAGTGTAGGCAACACACCGTATTTTTTGTTGCATCAGAAGAAGCCGAAGATGGGGTTTTTTCATGTTTTTGGGTCTCCGGCTTGGGTTCTCACTCCAAAGGCCATGTGCAGAAAGGGTGAGCCAAGGTCTAGGAAGATGATCTTTGTGGGCTATGAGCCGGGTTCAAAGGCGTGGCGTTTCGCATACCCTACTGGCAACCAGTCCAAGCTGCTTATTAGCGGCAGTGCTGAGTTTTGCGAGCAGAGTGGGTGGAAACGTCTTCACGGGAACCCAGATGTTCTGTCAGACTCAGATGAGGAAGAGGAGGAAGGCGAGGCTGAACCGGCTGCTGATGCGCACGGTCCACAGCAACAGGGTCCAGCGCCAGTTTCTCCAAAAGGGAGTCCCAGGACTCCTCCACAGGTTTCTGTCAAGTCTGAGCCAAAGAGTGAGCCCTCCCCGCCTGCAGAACCAGTTGTGAGGCCAAAAAGGCGCAGCAGGTCAGAGGGGGAGGTTTCTGACACAGGAGATGGTAGGGTTGATCCAGGTGAATCAGGCGCAGTTCCAGAATTCACGCTGAGGAGGTCAGCAAGATCAACGAAAGGAAAGCCACCTGAAAGGTATGAAGCCACTAGTGTTTGGGTTGGTGTGGCTAGGTGTGAACCTGAATCCTTTGAGGATGTTCAGAAGTTGCCTCAGCAAGAAGCTAGCAAATGGCGCGAGGCGATGCAGAAGGAGATGAACTCAATGGAGTCTCATGGTGTGTTCTCACTCACACAGCTGCCGGCTAACCAGCGAGCTGTTACTTGCAGATGGGTTTACCGATTGAAACCCACAGAAGCAGGAGAACCACAGTATAAAGCGAGATTAGTGGCCCGAGGATTCTCACAGAAAAAGGGGGTACACTTCACGGAAGTGTATTCGCCAACCTCGAGAGCAGAGACTCTGAGAATGCTTTTGGCGATAGCAGCACAGAGAGGTTGGAAGGTGAACCATTTTGATGTAGATGTCGCCTACCTGAACTCAGATCTCAAGGAGGAGTTGTACATGCTTCCTCCTCCAGGGTTTGAAGTCAGTGAGCCAGGCGTCGTGTGGCGGTTGCACAAATCCATCTATGGATTACGTCAATCTGCCAGGAATTGGAATATGTGTCTACATGAAGCCTTAGAGGAGCTAGGTTTTAAGAGATCTCTTGCAGACAGTTGTCTTTACATTAGAGGTTCAGGCTTAAAACAGCAAGTGGTGCAGGTGTTTGTTGATGATATCTTGGCAATGGCACAGACAGGTGAACAGGTGGAGAAGTTTGCTAAAGAGCTTGGAAAACGGTTCAAGCTGAAGCAGCTTGGAGATGTCAAGTCTTACCTAGGCGTCCAGATAGCGAGGACTGAGGATGGTAGTTTTTTGCTTTGCCAGAAAGGTAAGATTGAACAGTTGCTTGAGAAGTTTAGGATGAGTGATTGTGCAGGAGTGAGAAGTCCTATGGAGACTAGTTTTGTGAAGGACAGTCAGCAAGTAGAACGCGCTGCGTTCGAAAATACTGAAGTGTTTCAGTCAGCTCTAGGGAGTCTGTTGTATTTGTCCCAGTGGAGCAGACCAGACATAGCATTTGCTGTCAATCTGCTCAGTAGAGAGGCTGCAAGTCCTAGTGTACAAGCCTGGAATGGCATCAAGAGAGTTCTGAGGTATTTGCAGGAAACCAAAGACTTTTGTCTTAGGTTGTCAGCTCAAGGAGAAGTCAAACTGACTTGTTTTGTGGACTCGGATTGGGCTAACTCTGAGGATCGCAAATCAGTATCAGGTCTAGTGATGAAGTTTGGGGACTCAGTAGTTGGGTGGAGGTCCCGGAAGCAAAGTCTCATAGCGCTTTCGTCTACTGAAGCTGAGTTCAGTGCGCTATCAGATGCTTGCAGAGAGCTGGAGTTCTATGTGTGTTTGGTCGAAGAAATCTGTGAAGAGGATTGTCTGCCCGTTGTGGTGCATGAAGACAATCAACCATGCCTTAAATTAGCTGAGACGGGGCAATTCAAGGCGAGGACGAAACATTTGGACATACGTTTTCAGAATGTGTGTCAGAGCGTTCGAGAGGGGCTAGTTGCTCTGAAATACTGTCCCTCAGCCAAGAACCTCGCTGATGGTTTCACAAAACCATTAACCTTCCAGAAGCACGAGGAGTTCTGTGAGGGTCTGTGTATGGGGAAAGCATTGTTGGCTATTGTCCCCAGATGCAGGACAAGAGGGGGTGTGGAGTTTGGAACTGGCAGGGTTAAAACTCCGTGGTGCCCTGTATCTGGGAGGAGCTCTAGGAGGAGCTTGATGCAGGGAAATGCGTCACAGTGTGTGTCTGTGTTCAGTTCTACTTTCACTTCTGACTGAGACAGACACAGCTCAGCTCAGAGGAGCTGTGAGGGTGCTTTTGGAAGCACGGAGAATGGCTGAAGTTTCCGATGGATGTTAATGGATTTATTGCCTTGTAAATAAACGCTTCTAAAGATAAGAACCGATCTGCCTATGGACTTGATTTATCCCTTTCTCACATGGACTCAGGACCGCTGCATTACTCTGCTAGGCCAGCTCAGAGCTTCCAGGGATACGGAGCTGAACTGGGAAGCTTGCTGGACCCAATATTCCGGACGGGGATTTTATTTTCACCCCCAGAGATGTCTCCCTGCTCAGGGACAAAGGGGAGGTAGGAGAACTTGCGGAAAGTGTTGTCCACGCTGGGGTAGAAGTCTGTCTCCTCCACGCCCTCGGAGACCACCTCGTTGTTCTTCAGCCAGGTGACGTTCAGCACTGGGGGGGAGAACCTGTCCACAAAGCAGATGAGGACGTTGGGGTCCCCCAGTTCCACGGCATTTTCCGGGTACACAGTGGCCGAAGGAGCAACTGAGGAAGGAGATGGAGAAAGAAATGGGATTAAAACCCATTTGAAGCAGTCTAGAAATGGAAAGCATAGCAATTAGCTGTTAGGCTGATCTCCCTCTTTGTGTTCCCCCAGTTTATCAAAGAAACAGGCTACAGGCTGAAAAGTAAGTTTAAAATATATATTTGCTCACAGTCAAGCATTCATCCTCAGCACCAACAGCATTAAAACAACACAGAGAAAATATTTGCATTTACAGCAAAAAACAACTTCAGGCATGTGCCTGAAATTGGAGCAAGTGGGGGCCTGTCTGCTTCCATCATTGGTCAAAGGAAGAGAGAGAAGAAAATACTACTTTCTCCTTCCTCCCTGGTCAGGGGGAAATAACATCACCCAAATTACTCTCTACTAATTACATTTCTATGGTCTGAGTCCCTCTATCACCAGTGCAACTCTGTGGACTTGACCCCTTCGCATGCTAACTAGCAAGAATATGCATTGTTAGATTTCACTGCAAAATCTCCCACACCATGTGCCCTACATTAACTGCTGTGGGCATTTCTGCACCGGGTGTTCAGGTTCAGGAATGCCTCTGAGCTTGTACAGAGTGCAGTGCTGCCCCTCCCATCAGGCTTCCCTTCCCTTTTAGCCTGTCTCCGTCAGCCAAGGACTGGTCCCTCCAGCAGAGTTCCCTCTGGGGAGACAGAAAGGGGTCCTGAAGGGTCTTCCGTGTCAGGAGCCAAGAGACCACCCCCTGCCTGCCCCCCAGCTCTCTCCCCTGCCCCCCTCGCGTGTCCTACCGTTCAGGGCACGGGTGCGGTTGCTTCGCTTCATCAGCACCTCCATGTTGTTCTTCATGACAGCGATGTTGGCCAGGGCGCCCTGCACCTCAAAGCTGGTGAAGCGCTGGAAGTCCGGCAGCCTCCAGACGTTCTGCTTCTTCTCCCAGTCCACGTGCAGGATCTCCTCGTTGTCAAACTCCAGCAGGAACTCCCCGGACTTCTTCTCCGAAGGGAAGCTCTCCTGGAAGAAGTCCAGCTCCACCAGGGTGTCCTCCACTGCAGGGGTGGGAGAGAGAGAGGGGGGCTTTAGGACCCCGCAGCAGGATGAGGGAGAACCTGCCCCATTGCTAGGAATGGGGCCACCACCAGGAAGGCTCTCCAAGAAGACGAAGGGGGGCTTCATCTGCTCCCAAACACACAGACTTTAAAATTCTCTCCTTTCACAGCCATAACAGCCCCCAAAGGTGATCCTGGGGGGCATTTGTGTGTGGGGTGACTCTGGCAGATCGAAAGTTGGAGGAATCCTTCAAGAGACCAATCCATGACTCCTCACAGGGTTGTTGTGAATATAGCAAGGATGTAACTCTGCCCTGAGCTCCTTGCCCCAAAGTGAAACCAAGAATTCAAGGATTTCCTCAGCGTTTATAAGGGTTCTACTTAGAGATTTTTTAAGGGTCCACCGAAGTTTCTGGCCCCTTATGTGTTGCTGGGGAGGAGAGAGACCACTCTGTCAAGGGAGGGGGCATTAGGGGGGACTGATGCCTTTTGGGGGTGACCACTGGGGGCTTCTGAACCAGGCAGGTCTCTGTGGCAGCCTAGTCCATAAAGAAGAAAGAACAATTCTTCTTTTATCTCCCTTTCCCTCCTCCCAACAGGAAAGGCTAGAGGCACAAATCCCGAACTTCGAAGCAAGGCAGTGGGTGGGGTGGGGGGTGCTCTTTGCACCCAGTCCTTCCCCCTCTTTTTTTTTAACCCCTGGACCAGCTTAGTTGAGGGTTCAGATCCTCTCTCCCCTCCCTCGTGTTTTGGGGGCGTCCAATTTCCTTCCTCCGGACCAGGCAGGTCTTTGTGGCAGCCGAACTCAGAGAGAGGAATAATAATTCTTGTTTTATTTCTCTTTCCCTCCTTGTAACAGGAAAGGCTGGGGGCACAGATTCTGATCTTTTAAGCTAGGTGTGGGGGGGATGCTGTTTTCACCCCATTTCCCCCTTCATTTATTTAAACAAAACCTAGACCACCTTATTTGAGGGAGCAAATCCTCCTTGCCCGTCATTCCACGCACCTCCCAGCACTCTTTGGGGGGGGGACGTCCAATTTCCTTCCTCCCCCATCCCTCCGTATTCCCGGGTGCAGCTTCTGCACCTGTCGTGGGGAGGGGGTCATCCTCCCTGTAGCCGAAGAGACCCCTCCTCCTTTGCCCACAAGCAACGCCCAGGGGCGCAGTCTTTCTCCCCCATTTTCCCCTAACTCCCCTCCCGGGACCCCTCCCCAGGCATCTCCCTCTCCCTCCTGCGCCCCCCGACCTTTCAGGGCTCCGGCCCCCCTTGGCGGGGCGAGGAGGAGGGTCGCCCAGAGGCAGCAAAGGGCTCTTCCTCCTCCTCCTCTTCCTCCTCTGGGCTCCATCTCTGCAGCTCTTCCTGGGCCGAGGCGGGCGAGGAGCGACCAAAGCCCAAGTGTCCCTTGCCCCTTCCTCCTGGATGCTCGCCCTCCAAGTGGCTGTGGGGCGGGGGCGGCCAGGGGGCGGCTTTGGCGGAGCAGAAAAGTCCCTGCCAGCTCGGCCAATGAGAAAGCGCCCTGGCGATGACCAGCCTGTCTCCAGGTAAACCCTCCCCAGGCAGGAGCCTCAGCCGGAGACGGAGCGAAAAGAGCAGCATTTGGGGTGGGGGGGGGCTGGATCTCCGCAAGAGGGGAGGGGTCTCCTCCAGGGAAGGGGCTGCGGGGGCTCCTCTCTGTCTCCCCCCTGTGTGTTTCTTCATGGGGCTCCTCAGACACCAGCGCCAGGGATGTTTCTTGCAAAGGGGAGTTGGGGGCTGGAGGGGGCTTTTATTGGGGGGAGGGGTCTCCTTATTGGGGGTGAAATATACTCAGAGTCGCAAAGTGATTTCATGCTCTTTATTCAGCTCATAGTGGTGAGGAGGAATGAATGAAAGTCCCCTCACAGTATCTGCTTATATACAATATTTACACAATGGGCTGCACATGATTGGCTAATTCCGGAATTCTACTGTAAGCCAATCAGGTTGTGGATTCACTTCTATCTGGAGCAGGATTGGGTGGTTCCTGCCAACCAATCATACTGCTGCATTGTTCTAGGACCAATCAGACTGCTGCATTCTGAATCCTATTGTTCTAGGACTAATCAGACTGCTGCAATTTGGATCCTATTGTTCTAGGACCAATCAGACTGCTTCAGTTTGGATCCTATTCAACTCAATACATAACAGGGGGGCTGCCAGGTCTCCTGGGGATGCAGGCTGGGGGGCGAAGAGGGGGAGCCCCCTCCCTCAGCAGACAGTTATTCCCCCCTTGAAACTTCTGTCCTCTTTCTGGATACATTGAAGGAACGAAGTTTAGCGGCTTAAAACGCAGCAGAAGAAAAGCGCATCTCGCTCTTTTGAAGCCTGAGTCTGAAATTTCCCTTTTCGCTGCCAGAGGAAAGTTTTGGATGGAACTGACAGATTCCTCTTAAGCTTTATATCCCCCCCAAGGTTTTCTGGGGAAGATATTGATTCACCCGCGACGCAGCAACAATGGAGAGATCAGAAGCAGCTGAGAAGGCAAAGAGGAACTTGCAGATCGAGCGAGAGCAGAGAGAGCCCTTGCTAATGCTCTTTCCAGGAGTTCCCTGCCTGGCGACCGATGACGCTGCCTCGGCTCGGAGGCGGATTGGACGCTCGCGGGGCGGGGAGGTGGAGTGGGCGGGGCCTGCAGGAGTTTCTCCCGGGGCTGGGCGGAGCAAGTCCCATTTGGGAGTCTTCGGGGGGCGAAGAAGAGAGGATGGGGGGCTCCGGCGCTGCGCCTTTGGCCTTTGGGGGGCTCCTGCTGGGGATGGGGGCGCTGGTGGTCTCCGCTTCGGAGGGGCTGGGCGTGGAGGCGCCTCCAGGTGAGCAAAGATTCTGCAATGGGGGGAGAAGGAAGAGGAAACTCCGCTTAGCGTGACCCCCATCGGTGGGGCTCCTTTGACGATCACTCGTAGATGGTCTTCCATGATCTTAACAGGGAGTCCGTAAGTGACTGTGGAACCAATTCTGGATCCACACGTCCTTCCACAGTGGGAACATTGGTTTCTGGGCGGGAGTTGATCCCTTGAGGGTTTGCCAGGCGTGCCTTCCTCTTCGCACGTTTCTCCCTAGCGTCCTGAGTTCAAGTGTCTTCAAAGTCCATGACGACTTTGGTCAAGGCTGTTCCCCAATTGGAGCGCTCGCAGCAGTGGTGTAGCGTGGGTTGTCAGCACCCGGGGCAAGGCAAGAAATTTGCACCCCCTAACCCGTGGATTTGCGCCCCCTAACCTTAACCCCCAGATGTTGTGTCCGGTGCGGCCGGCCCCCCCTGCACCCCACATGCTACTGGCTCGCAGGCCAGTGTTTCCCAGTTGCTGGTGTTTATACTACATTTTAAAAGATTTTTCTTGGAAGAGTCTTTAAATTTCTTTTGTTGACCCACCAGCATTACGCTTTCCATTTTTAAGTTCAGAATAGAGTAGTTGCTTTGGAAGATGATAATCGGGCATCCGAACAACATGGTTTAATTCAGTGAAGTTGATGTTGAAGAATCCTTGCTTCCCCACGGGGACTCTTTGCTTCTTCCAGGACACTGGGGGCAAAGGGGCAGGCGGGAAGGGGAAACACTCCCCCCTCTGAAAAAGAGCAGCTCAGGCTTCTGGGATTGGGAAGAAGAGAGCATTTAATTATTGCAATTCATTATATCCCGCCTTTCAGGATTAAAATCCTACCCCTGCAGCTTACAAGTAACATTCAATTGAATTTTAATAAACCCACAGTATTCACACATTATATAGTCTTCCTGCAAGACAGATGATGGCAGGCAGCCCTAGGGGACTTTTGGGGGGGCGTGGAGGGGGGAGCGCAGCTGAATCTGGCCCTGAGCGCTTCTTCACCTGCCTCTCAAAATCATCCTCATCATTATTAGTCCATTTACCTCCCATCATATCCAAGAGATCTTGTAACCAATTCTTAACTCTATAAATGATTCCACATACCGCATAAATATACATTTTTTAACACAAGGTATGTAGGGTGTAGTCAGGATTTTTGTTGGGGGGGCAGGACTTTTGTTAGGAGGGGAAACCTCAGTTTGCTATGTATTTTTATTGGTTTTTATTGATGGGGGCAGTTGCCCCTCCCTGTTCCCCTTGGCTACGTCCATGAAGCAGCAGCAAAAGTGGGGCAAATGGCTCCCTGCTCCTAGGACCCTGAACTCCCCCCCTCTCGCGGCAGGCCCCTTCTCCCAGTACCCCCCCTTGGGGTCCTCTGGGAACTGAAATGGGCTCCGGTGTAGACCTCCCCCCCCCCAACATTTCCTCTTCCAGCCGGAGGGCAATAAAAGGGGGAAGTGAGGTTTACATTTTTAAAAAACTGGAGAGAAGCATGAGCATAGCCATCGGGGCAGGGAGCAGCTGCCCCCCTTAAATAAATTAAACAAAGCTTGGTTCCCGCCTCCCCGCATAAATCCTGGCTATGCCCATGAGGTCCAGGGTCTTCGAGGTTGTGCCTCCTTCTCTACACCGGCCAGCCTCTCCCCCCCATGGGATCACGTGACACGAGAGAGATACTGTAATGGGAGATAGAGAGAGACCATCTCTCTACCGCCTGGTGGGGGCAACTCTCCGCTATGGTGGGAGCTGCGCCCTTAAGGCAACTGGAAACCGGAAGTCTCCACCCCCCAATTCCATTCCCCCCCCACAGAGCATTTCCTGCACCAGAAGAGGGCCGAGTGCCGCTTCTTCAATGGGACGCAGCGGATCCGCTTCCTACATAGCTACTTCTTCAGCCAGCAGGAGCTCTACTACTTTGACAGCGACCGAGAGAAGTTCGTGGCAGTGGCTGAACTGGGGGAGCCCGAAGCCAAGCGATTTAACCAGGACAAGGACCTCCTGCGGGGCCAGATGGCCTACGTGGATTCCTTCTGCCGGCGCAACTACAGGATCCTCAATCCCTTCTCCCAGTCCCGGGGCAGTGAGTCCAGAATCGGGGGGGGGGGGGCGTCATGGGAAACGGGCCCCGGAAGAACCCAAAATGGGGGGGCATGGGGTGGACATGGGACTTTCTCCCCTCCTGTCCCCGTTCCCCCCCTTTTCAGAGAGATAAAGAGGCCTTTCCTGATGCCCCACTCCAGAGGCAGAGGCAGTAGGAGTTTCTGTGTCCCTGGAAGCATCATAAACCGTTTTGTGTTGTTACGGTAAAATCTAGGGGCGAGGCTGCTCTGCCCACTAACTCGTCGGACTGAGTCCGCGGGTCCCTGCGGAAGAAAGGAGCGCAGCCAGAGACAGGAGCAAGGAGGCGAAGATCCAAGTTTATTGCGCAACAGGTTCAAGGCAAGATTGAACGCCGAGGATGGGGTGACATGAACTTTTAAAACTTTCCACCATTACCCATGAAACAGTGCAGAAGCATCATCAATACATCATGGTTACATCATGAATACATTAAGAAAGGGTTGGGTTACACAGGATTAACATATGGAGGAGGGAGGGGGAATATGCAGAGTTGGAGATATGCGCAGATAAGTACATCCTGAGTCAAATCAGGATGTACAATAGAGTCCAGGTTTGCAAAGTCTGTCACCTGGCACTGCCTGGAGGAAAGGCTTGGCAGGGTGATTTGACAGGATTAGGGTCTTCTTCAGGACTTCCTCAGGACATGACATCTCGCTTGGGGGATTATGGAGGACACCAGAGGAGTCTTGAAGCCGTAGAGAAATTGAGTAGATTGGCACCGAAAACAAGAAAATCAGTGCTACGGTTGATTTTCTATGAATTTTTATGTATTTAAAGTCCATTTAGGCAGCGGCAGTCGAATTCGGAAATAGCTGGATACATTGTAGCAAGATTTGACAGGATTAGAAGTTTACGAGGTTTCGGTTCCATTGTTCTCACAGCGGGGAGCCGTCAGCAGCTTGTCGAAGGTTAAATGAGGCGTGCATTCGAGAAGTGGTGACAGCCTCTCAGGGTTAGGAGGGTTGAGTACACGTGAGGGACATGGATGGTGATTTCATGTCCCAACATTGTCTCTTGTGCTTTTTCAAGGAGGATCACAGTGGCGGCAATAACCCTCAGGCAACTCACTGCTCCCTTTGCAGTATTACCCAGATGTAGGCTGTAATACGCTACTGGTCTTTCCTGACCTCGGAAGGGTTGAGTGAGAACCCCTGAGGCTACCCCCATTTGTTCGTGAATAAACAGGTTGATGGGCATGCAGTAGTCTGGGAGGCCCAAGGCGGGGGCAGATCTTAATTCCCTTTTTAGGCGTTCAAAAGAGTTATAAGCCTTTTCTTCCCAAACCAATTCATCAGGATGATCTTGGCTGGTCATGGCAGATAAGGGTTTTGTTATTTCGCTATAACCGGCAATCCAAGCCCGGCAGAAGCTGGCCATTCCGAGGAAGCCGCGCAGTTGTCGCTTTGTCTTGGGGAGGGGAATTTTAGTGACTGCTTCTATTCTATCAGTCGCTAGGCTTCGGGTACCTATCCCAAGGATATGCCCAAGGTACTTCACTACTTGTTTACAGTATTGTAGTTTTTTCGGGGACACCTTGTGTCCCTTATATGCCAGCCCTAAAAGGAGGTGTTTGGTGTCTAATTTGCATGCCTCCTCACTGGTAGAATAAATAAGTATGTCATCAACGTAAAGCAAATAGGTGGAGCCAGCAGGCAGGTGTACGTCCTGCAGATCCTGATGTAGTATTGCGGGAAAAATCGTGGGCGATTCCGCATAACCCTGGGGCAGCCTGGTCCAAGTTAGTTGGCTAGGTCCCCAGGTGAATGCGAAAAGGAACTGGCTCGCTGGGTCTAAGGGAATGCTGAAGAATGCGGAACATAAGTCTGCAGCGGTATACCAGGTTGTCTCCACCGGGATTGCGTTTAAAAGAGAGTTTGGGTTGCCCACCACTGGGTGGCGAGGTATTACGAATTGGTTAACCAGTCTTAAATCTTGGACAAAGCGATAACGAACTGGGGCTCCCTCTGCTGAAGGTTTCTTTACAGGGAGTACAGGGGTGTTGCAAGGTGACGCACAGGGAACCAGGATCCCCTTTTCGAGGAAGCCCTCAATCATAGGCGTCAGTCCCTCTATGGCTTCCTTCGGCAAAGGGTATTGTTTGGTGCAGGGGAAAGGAAGGTCGGTCCTATAAGTAATCTTGACTGGGATGGCCGGTTTTAGAAGTCCTACAGAAGTTGACTGTGCCCCATATTGAAGGGGGCAGTTCGTTCTCTAGTTCAGGAGGGAGTTCGGGGAATTGGTGGTCCGATCTAGCGTCTTTTATTATGCCTTGAAATGTTGGGACAGATTCTTCGGGCATATACAAGTATATGCCATCTCCGGAGCATTTTATTGTGGCATTTAATTTGCAGAGCAAATCTCTACCGAGTAAGTTTACAGGACTACTGGTCAAGAGGAAGGTATGTTCTGCCAGTAGGGGTCCGAGAGTGACTTTAGCTGGGTGTGAGAGCAGACAAGTGTGGGGTATCCCATCCAGCCCCATGACCTTTCTGGTCTCCGATCCTGGTTCGAGGTGGCTGTTGGTTAAGGTGAAATAAGTGGCTCCCGTATCTAATAAGCATTGGTAGGGATGGCCATCGATTTCAATTGTACAAATGGGGTCTTCTGGTGACAGTGCCAGGATGGGACAAATGGCTTGGGTTGGGATCCCCTTTTAGTTGTCAATATGGCTTTCCATCTCCCATCATGTCGAGAGGAGGAGGTGGTTGATTTGGCGGGTGTAGGGGTGGAGTGGTAGTGTTGATCTGGTGGGGGTTAGGTGGATTTACGGTGGGCATTTGAGTCCTCGGACTTGGTTGCGGTTGGTGGTTCTGGGGGGGTTGAAGTGGAGGCATCTGCGGGCTGTAGGGTGCAGGGGGCGCTTGTGGGGCATAGGTTGTAGATGGTTGATTCCCATATCCCTGGGTTATGTTGGGACGGGATGGGAAAGGGGCATAGCTGGTTTTCTCGTAGGGAGGTTTGAATTCCTGCCCCCCGTAGGCTCCTGTGTTAAGATATGGACAGAACCTTTTTATGTGCCCCTCCTCTTGGCAATGATAACATCCTCTGGTGGTGGGCCCCCTCTGCCTGTAGGGGTTAGGGGTCCTCCTCCCCGGATCCCCCTTCCTTGACCGATACCTCTACCCCGATTGGGGTTGGGTTCCATGCTCAAAGCTAACACGTGTTCTGTGTCGGGCTTGGGGTCTTTTCGTTTCCTCTCGTCCCGAGAGTTGTATACAGACTTGGCTATCGACAGGATCTCACTTATGCTTTTCCTGTCGTAGCCGATCTGGAGTTTAAGAGCCTTCCTTATGTCTGGGCTTGCTTGATCTTTAAAGAAGCCCTTTACGATAACCTCGTGTTGGGTGTTTTCCGGGTCTATCCCTCCCCATGTTTTAATGGCTGAGACTAGCCTGGTGTAGCAATCGGAGGGATGTTCATTCGATCCCTGTAACACAGTTTGGACCTTGGTCCAATTGACAGTGCGCTGACCAGCAGCTTTTATGCTGCCCAATATTGCCTTTTTGAATAGATTCAAACACCAGGTCCCGTCTGTGGTGTTATAGTCCCAAGAGGGATCGTTTCTTAAGACCTGCATTGTAAGCGCTGCTACCCGTGTGGGCCGGCCAGCTTGATAGTCCGGGAGTTCCAGTGCCTCCCCTGCTTTGGCTAGGATGCCTGCCTTTTCAGCCTCGTTAAAGAGGGCGTTTAAGAGGACATGGATGTCTGGCCAGGTAGGGTTATGGGTAGAGAAGATGGCACTGACTTGGCGGTGGCACTTGTCTGGGTCATCTCTCAAAGAAGGCATCTGATTCGACCATGTGACTAGGTCTGCCGTGTAGAAGGGGTGATGTGTATATACCATCCGAGGAGCCCCATTGGGATCTAAAGGTGGAATTGGTAGAGCCCTTAGAGGCATCTGAACCGCTGTCTGGTTAGAGGTTCCCGGGGTTTCTATGGATTCATCTGATTGATTGGAGTCCTCTGGGGTAGCCTTCTTTACCTTAGCTTGTTGGCGAGTGAGCACTTGACTTGCGCCCCCCGCCCCTGCTCCTCCTTCCCTCGATTCCGTGTCACTATCTGCATTGCCGTTTGGGGCAGATGGTATCGGCCCTTGATAGTAGAAGGGAATCAGGGTTCACTCAATGGAATTGTCTGCGGGGTGTCCCTCGTAGGGTGGGGCAAAGGCTGCTTTGCGGGATTTAGCATGGGCAGCTGAAAAGAGGGGGAGCTTGAAGTAGTCCTCTGATAGCCTCAAAGGTGGTTAAATATTCTAACTGACGGGGCTTCTCCTCCATCAGGTATTTTCTTAGATGGTTTAGGCGATCTTCATTAAAAGAGCCTCCTGTTGGCCAACGTAGTTCTGGGTTTGCGGAGGCGGTACTGGCGGGCCAGGATTCTCTGCAGAGGTCCTCTAACTTTTGTCTAGACAGTAGCTTATGGCCAGGTATCGACTTCCAATAGGTCAAAACGAATTCAAGAGGGGAGTCAGGGTCTCTCTGGGATTGGGATGGCTTTCTCGAAGCCTTCCTGCCAGAGGGAGCCCGCTCATTTTTGGAAGCCTGGGTACCCATGTTTTAATCCACGCGTGTCTGGGGTAGAGAGGGGAGAAAGAGAGGGGTCGATAAGGATTTTGGGTAACTTGTACAGGGGTCTTTCCTACGGTTTTCCTATTTCTTGTTGCTTGGCAACTCCCTAGTGGTTTTTCGGGCCCTAGCTATCTGGTTACCTCCCCAGACCTTTGGCACTCGTTCTTTCCTTCTCCTAATCTTGGGGGTGCTTTCCCACTCTGCCAAATCCTGCCCAGTTCCTCAGAGGCTATCCCTCCTGGCAACCTCCTACCTATCATCACAGTCTTAGGAAAAGGGACCCTACTGGATGCCCGCACAGCGCGGTGCTAGATCGGGCGATCCCTGGATAGAGTTTTTGAACCGGAAAAACCCCCTTGCTTTCAGAAGCAGGCTCACGCATGATACACGTGTTACATGGCTCCGACTGGTGCGGCTGGGGTTTGTGATAGAAAGAAAGACCCTTCCGGCCCCCTTGCTGCGCGCTTGGGAAGTTCGGAAAGAGAGCTCCAACCACTTGCTTTCAACGAGATGCCCGTTGCGGTGAGTCGGGTTTTAAGCCGGTCCTCTCCGTTTTACTTTCAGGCTTTCGGTTGGTGCGGCTGGCTGGAGAATTTGAGATAAAGCGATAGAGCTCAGAACCCCCCTTTCGGGTTGAGCAGCGCTCCATGGTCTCTCTCAGTAACCGGACCAAGAGAAAGGTAAGAAGGAACGATAGAGAGGAGGGCAGAGAATTCAGTTGCCAGGAGACTACCACCCCCTTCCCACCAGTGCACTGGATTTTCCTTATACTCACACGTCTTCAACTGTGATCCCGGGATCATTGAATAAGCCGGCTGGATATCTCTTTGCTCCCCGGCTGAACTCCTGAGGCCGTTTGATTACCGCCCGGAAGATGGCCGGAGGTCCGGAGGGATCTTCCCGGGCAATGTGACCCAGTGCCGGCTGAAGACTTCAGGGACCCCGGTCAGCAACATGGGAGAACCGCAACACCCCACGTTGGGTGCCAAATATTACGGTAAAATCCGGGTGCGAGGCTGCTGTGCCACCCGGCTCGTCGGACTAAGTCCGCAGGTCCCTGTGGAACAAAAGAGCACAGCCGGAGACAGGAGCAAGATGCAGAAGATCCATGTTTATTGCGCAACAGGTTCAAGGCGAGATTGAACCCCGAGGATGGGGTGACATGAACTTTTAAAACTTCCCTCCATTTCCCATGTTACAGTGCAGAAACATCATCAATACATCATGGTTACATCAAGAAAGGGTTGGGTTACACAGAATTAACATATGGAGGAGGGAGGGGGGAATATGCAGAGTTGGAGATATGCACAGATAAGTACATCCTGAGTCAAATCAGGATGTACAATAGAGTCCAGGTTTGCAAAGTCTGTCACCTGGCACTGCCTGGAGGAAAGGCTTGGCAGGGTGATTTGACAGGATTAGGGTCTTCCTGAGTGTACGTGACATCTCGCTTGGGGGATTATGGAGGACACCAGAGGAGTCTTGAAGCCATAGAGAAATTGAGCAGATTGGCACCGAAAGCAAGAAAATTGGTGCGACGGTTGATTTTCTATGAATTTTTATGTATTTTAGTCCATTTAGGCAGTGGCAGTCGAATTCGGAAATAGCTGGATACATTGTAGCAAGATTTGACAGGATTAGAAGTTTACGAGGTTTCGGTTCCATTGTTCTCACAGTGGGGAGCCGTCAGCAGCTTGTCGAAGGTTAAATGAGGTGTGCAACAGCTTGAGCTGAGCTAGCTTTGCAAGCTGAATGCATTGTTCTGATTGGGTAGAACGCTCCAGTACGCAAATAGGCGAGTTCATTCATAAGATACATATTACTACTTCATACGGTCTACCAATGGAAACAATAGGGTGGGAGGGAGGAATAAGGCGCTCCGGCTTATTTCGCCCGGTGTACTCATTGTAACGAACGGGCATAAGAACGGGAAAAGGCACTTTTATTCATGGGGTTTGGGTTGAGTGTGGTGCTTGTGTAACAGTGCAGGGACTGGGGTTCCTGTGGGGTTATGTGCCCCTTGAGGTCATCGCCTCAAACCCTCTGGTGACTGGCGAAATGGGTGGAGAAGACATGCCCCACCTTCCGTATCAATACACGTACAGTACTTGACACATTTGTTCATATGTATGAAGAGGACTCAGTTTTTGTAGCTGATTGTATGCAGCCATGCTCTCTTTATGAATTCAGATGGTGTAAACATGTGTGTTGTCTTTAGATGCAAAACATACACACAGACACAGACAACACACAAGCAAGCAATACTCCAAAGGGATTCTGTTCCCAAAGGGGCAGGAGGGGTGTTCCGATCTCTTCACCACTTCAAATTCATCTCTGAGGCTTTAAGGGAAGCAAAAGAAGAAAGAAAGAAAAAGAAGACTTTCCCTTTTCAACTTTGCTTGGAGAGCAACCTTCTCCAGGATTTCTCTTTCGCACTCATTTCCAAAAACAGTCAGCGGGAAAGGAGAAGGAGGGTCGTTTTCCAGGTTTTCCTGCTTCCCCTTGCAGATTAGTATCACTCTGGTGCTCAGCAGATGCTTTTAGACTCTGGAGCCACCAGGGCGGCTGCGGTCAGAGAAAGCCCCCCCCCTGCAAGCTGGGAGCCTCAATTGCCCCCCTCTAAAGGCTTCACCCTGGCTAACCCCCCTCCCCTGTTAACTGTGGCCTCTCCTCCCTCCCTTGAAGCCTCCAAGTCCCTCCCTGCCTAAATCTCTGACCTTCCTTCCACATCTCCCTTGCCTCCCTCCCACAGTCCAGCCCAAGGTGAAGATCACCCCCACAGACAACGTTGAATCTTCACCACACAACACTCTGCTGATTTGCACTGTGGGCAGCTTCTTCCCTGCGGGGATCGAGATCAGGTGGTTCAGGAACGGGAAGGAGGAGCCCAAAGTGTGGACCACGGACCTCATCCGGAACGGGGACTGGACCTTCCATATTGAGGTGATGCTGGAGACAAAGCCAGAACGTGGAGACGTCTACACCTGCCAGGTGGAGCATGCCAGCTTCGAAGGCCCCGTCACAGTGCAATGGGGTAGGACGCCTTCCCAGCCCTGACCCACCACTTCCCAAGGAAGTGGGGGGCATTCCTGGGGGGCTGGATGGGTTGCTCCCCCCTCAGGGGGCTGATCCCATGCCTGCCTTTCCTCACTCTGGGCTTTTTCTTTCTTCAGAGCCACAGTCGGACTCTGCCAGGAGCAAGATGTGGACGGGGATTGTGGGTATTGTGCTGGGGCTGGTCTTTGGGGCCACTGGACTCGCCCTTTACCTGAAAAAGAAGAAAGGTGAGGTGGGGTGCCAGGGGGAGAGGGAGGGTTGGGTGTGGGGCTGGAGTGGGCTCCAAGCTCCCCCCCCCTCTTCTTAGGCAGAGGCTCCGGAGAGGGTTCTGTTCCTTCTCCACTCCTAGGAGGTCCCTCTTGGTGCCTCAAATGGAGCCTCTGCTATTATGGAGATGGTCTGAGGTTTAAATCTGTAGATTAAGACCTAAACCTCTTGTTCAACATACGAGGGAGAAATTCAAAAGCATCTCTGGCTCTGAAGCCTTTGAGCAGAGTAAGGACACACATGGTTTGCAGCTTCCTGGTCCCAGCAGTAAGTCAAAGGCTCTCTCTCCCTGCTGAGCGAAGGGCCTTTGAGACACTTAGTCAGGAGGGGGAATTCATCTCCCTTGGGTCTTTTCGCTGTTCGTGTCTCTGAAATAAATCCCAGAATCAACAACTGGGCAATGCAGAGCCCCAAAGAAGGCAGCTAAGGGAATATGGGAGGGTTTGTGGGGTGGGGCCATTGGGTAATGGGAAAGAGATTAGTTGGCAAGATGTTCTCCAGGGTCCTTTCTGTATCGGGAAGGAAATATTTATTTCTACAAAGACTCTTCTTTCACCCCCTCATACTCCTTAGGACAGAATGAGAAGGGGAAAGTTCCTAGCTGTGCCTGGAGTGTGTCATCTTGATCTTGGGGGGTGGCATGTTCCCAGAGAAGGTATTTCAGGGGATATCTGGTGCTGACTGAATCTTTCTTTTCTTTTCTCTCTCTCCCAGGTCAAGCTGTTCCTCAGCCTGCAGGTAACTTTCCTCTCTGCTCTTCCATCCTCCTCCTCCTCCCCCAACCCCCTTCTCCTGGCTGCTTGCTGTGCCCCCGCCATGGCTTCCTTGTAGAACAGAGGGGAGGGGCTTTCTATGGATCGATCCACCCCCGATGCACACACCCCAATATCATGTCCTGGAAGGGGGTCTCCAGGGGAATTTCCCACCTGGGAGACAGTCAAGCAAAGTTCAAGGCCAAGTGAGGATCCCAGGGCTGGTGTTTCGCCCTTGGGGGACAAAGCTCTTCTGCCCATTGCAGGGCATCTATTCCGGGGGGGGGGGGGCGTCCTCTTTCGCCCCAAGGGCTGCATCCCCTCCTTCCAGGGACCACAATTTCCGTATTGCTGAGTGGATTACTTTCTGCCCCTCTCTGTTCTTGGTCCAGGCAAGCAAGGGGCATCCTCAGAGTTCAAGGGAGGTGGAATCACTCCTGGAGGGTTCAGAACGGGGACAGGAAGAGTGTCTGGAGAGAGCCATGAGGGCCAGAAAGAGAGGCCTGGGGGCCAAGTTTGGTCCAGGGTCTGTGGTTCCCCATTTCTGATCTGGAGAGATCTCCTTGGTCTCTTCTGAAGCTCCTCTTCTCCACTGCCAAAGCCAGCCAAGTCTCCCTCTCTCTGTCTCCTTCCCTCCTCAGAGCCCCCCCTGCCAGGCCCATAACTGGAGGCAATGGGAATTGTAGTTCACAATATCTGATGGCCGCTCTATGGAGTGTCCCCCAATCTTGCCAGGGATTCTTCGACCCCTTTCTCCCCATTCCTCACCCCACAGTGATGGGCTTGTCTCTCTCTCCTCTGCCTGCAGGACTCATCAGTTAGACTTCGCTGCTCCATCAGGATCCTGGGATGTGGAGAAGCTCTGTTCTTCCTGCCAGTTGCCCTCAGTCCATGCTCAGAGGGTGGAAACCTCCTTGGAAGGTGGATGGAAGGAGTCACACATCAAGAACGACAGTGTCCCCCCTCCCCCACCTCTGTTGCTTGCTTGTCATTTGGGGAAAGTTTATTTTTCTGTTTCCCTTTCCGCTTGTGGATTGCAAGTTATCTCAACCTGATTCCTTCTTTGCACCTCTCTGCTAGAGAATTTGTGCCTTGAATCTCCCTGGAGGAGCCTGAGCTGTCCCTGAAAACAGCCATGAATCTGGTCAGACTGCCAGGACTGGTCCTTCAAGCCCTGATGGGGAGGCTCACAACTGAATTGGGGAGGGGTCCCATGTGGCCTCCCAAACCTCTCCATGTGGCCCCTGGGACTCTCCCCAGCCTTGCATTGCCCCTTCCTGCAGAGTCTTCGCCTGGCTGGGATTTGTCCTTCTACTCCAATCATGTTTCTTGCTTGCCTTGACGGAGGATGGAGAGGAGGGGGGGGTGTGAGCTTGTGCAGAGACTGGTCTCCTGTGAAAACTTCACACTTGCCTTTGATGCTCTGCTCCTGCCCACCATTGGAGTGTGGCCCCCAGAAGGTTCCCCAGAATAGAACGCGGCCCTTGGGGAGGGGTCCCATGTGGCCTCCCAAACATCTCCATGTGGCCCCTGGGACTCTCCCCAGCCTTGCATTGCCCCTTCCTTCAGAGTCTTTGCGTGGCTGCGATTTGTCCTTCTATTCCTTTTTTTTAAAAATTACAAACCACTGAGCCTCTTGGGCTTGCCGATTGGAGGGTGGGTGGTTCGAATCCCCGCGACGGGGTGAGCTCCCATTGCTCGGTGCCTGCTCCTGCCAACCTAGCAGTTCGAAAGCACATCAAGGTGCAAGTAGATAAATACCGTATTTTTCGCTCTATAAGATGCACCAGACCATAAGACACACCTAGTTTTTGAAGGAGGAAAACAAGAAAAAAAATATTCTGAATCTCAGAAGCCAGAACAACAAGGGGGATAGCTGCACAGCGAAAGCAGCAATCCCTCTTGCTGTCCTGGCTTCTGGGATAGCTGCGCAACCTGCATTCGCTCCATAAGATGCACACACATTTCCCCTTACTTCTTAGGAGGGAAAAAGTGAGTCTTCTAGAGCAAAAAATACGGTAGGTACCACTCTGGCGGGAAGCTAAACGGCGTTTCCGTGCGCTGCTCTGGTTTGCCAGAAGCGGCTTAGTCATGCTGGCCACATGACCCGGAAGCTGTACGCCGGCTCCCTCGGCCAATAAAGCGAGATGAGCGCTGCAACCCCAGAGTGGGCCACGACTGGACCTAATGGTCAGGGGTCCCTTTACCTTTACCTTTATTTTCATACAACAAATTATTCCAACAATTGTATTTTTCCTCATTTCCCCCTCCCCCCCCACGACTTCCCTCAGCTCCTCTTTCTGATTTATTAACACATATTGTTCTCTGCATATTATAAAGATGTAAAAATCTCTAAATCTTCCATCTAATATTTTAACAAATAAATTTATGTATGTTTATTCAAAACCTGCCAAGGAGACCAACTCATTTTGTCATTTCTTTAAGTACGGTACTTTGTAAAAGGTTCCCATTCTTCTTTAAAGTCACAGTTGTCCTTGTTGCAATTTTGCCAGTTCCGCATAGTCCATCAATTTCTCTTGCCACTGTTCTTTTGTCGGGGTTTCTTCATTCTTCCATCCTTGTGCTATTAAGACTCTTGCCGCCGTTGTTGCAGACATAAATATGTTATTCATTTTCCTTGGCAGGTCTTTCCCTACAATCCCTAACAGAAATGCTTCAGGCTTTTTTTACAAATGTTGATTTAAACATTTTCTTCAACTTTGTCCTTCTATTCCAATCAGACACCATTTTTAAGCCACTTTTTGCTAGTGGGGAGGGCGGGTGATAAACCCCCTCAGCCTGCCAAGAATCCCAGGAGGCTGGTGAGGGGGAAACACTCTGGGGAGTTTATTTATTTCACTTCATAAAATTTATACATCAGTTCATTGTGGAAAAAAAGCAACACCTCAAAGTGCTTTACAAAAAGATAAACCAAGAGAAAAATCGCAACACAAAAACACACACAGGCAAAACCAGATTAAAACCACCTCAGCTTCCTCAACATCTGGGTTGGCTTGTCTGAGCAAGAATGTGCCAAAAAGAGAACAATGAAGAAGGCGCCTCTTGGTTTCATTAGGCAGGGAGTTCCAAAGTGTGCTGAAGGAGAGAAAGGAGAGGAAAACACTCCCATTGGACCATATTTACATGTATTCATTTATTTATTAAATTTCTATACTTCAACTGTAGATTTCAGGGTGGCTCACAATGTAATGGCAGAGGAGGAGGCAGGACCATCAAGCTCACACTAAGATAGGGAGCAAACGCTCTGGTCAGACCTCACCTGGAGTACTGTGTCCAGTTCTGGGCACCACAGTTCAAGAAGGACACTGACAAACTGGAACGTGTCCAGAGGAGGGCAACCAAAATGGTCAAAGGCCTGGAAACGATGCCTTATGAGGAACGGCTAAGGGAGCTGGGCATGTTTCGCCTGGAGAAGAGGAGGTTAAGGGGTGATATGATAGCCATGTTCAAATATATAAAAGGATGTCACATAGAGGAGGGAGAAAGGTTGTTTTCTGCTGCTCCAGAGAAGTGGACATGGAGCAATGGATCCAAACTACAAGAAAGAAGATTCCACCTAAACATTAGGAAGAACTTCCTGACAGTAAGAGCTGTTCGACAGTGGAATTTGCTGCCAAGGAGTGTGGTGGAGTCTCCTTCTTTGGAGGTCTTTAAGCAGAGGCTTGACAACCATATGTCAGGAGTGCTCTGATGGTGTTTCCTGCTTGGCAGGGCGTTGGACTCGATGGCCCTTGTGGTCTCTTCCAACTCTATGATTCTATGATTCAAAATCTGCAGACGAGAAGGGATTTCCTCAGAGGGAAAAAGACCCAGGCATCACCAATCGCAGGCAGGGTTGGTCTGCGGAAGAGAGGGGATGTAGGGGGTTGGACTAGATGAGCCCTGAGGTCCCTCCAACTCTACAACTCCATGAGTCTTTGAGGAGGAGAAGGGCTTCAGAGCCCCCTGCTCTGGCCTCATCCCAGATACCAGGGATGAAATTTGGAAGAGGCTCCTCTGCTCATCCTAAGGTTGCCCCCCCCCCACTTAGAAGGCCCTGGGAGGATCTTAGGCTCTTGGGACCACGTGCCCTTGGCAGACTCTCCTTCTTCAAATGGTCCCATTTCAAGGCAAATTGGCCCTTTCACATTCACAGGACCTGTGGCTCTTTCTGCTGAGGGGGGCCCTGGCCTCCTGCCCCACAGCCTTGCCCTGACAGCTCCCCTGGAAATCTCCCCCCCACCTTGACTTGTTTAAAAAGTTCCTGTTTCGAGGGAACCCAAATGTCACAATCTCCACTTCTGCCCTGAAGCACAAAACAGGGTTGGGGGAGGGGTAAACCAGAGTTGCTACCGCTGCTGCTGCTGCCTGGGGGGGGGTCTATAGTGTTGTCTTTCTGGGGACTTTCCTGGAGGGGAGGCTTGATGGGAGCCAATCACAGGTCCCTACCCTGCCTGGTCATTGGTTGCTGGGCAGGAAACGCGTTGCTCTTGCCAAACCCCTTAGAGTGCAGCACTTGCTGGTCTCTGACTGTGTCCTGGGCTGCTGAAGGGGAGAAGGAGCCTTTGATAGGCAACAGGGAGGGAGGAGGAGGAAGACAGCCTGCAAAGATCAGGCCACCCGCACCCCACTTTCTCACCAACTCTTTCCCTCTGGGACTATATTGCCAGTGGACTATATTGCAAGGATGCTGGATGTTACTGTCTCGCAGCACAGACCTCCAGCTTACAATAGTGGTATAACAGCGAACCACTCTGCAGGACTGTTGTGGTTTCTGTTACTGAAGCCTGAAGACATGGAGAAGGTTCTGGGCTGGGTCTGTGCAACCACTTGTGTCTTGGGCCCTTGCCTCTCATGGCTTGTACAATCTTGCAGCTGGGTGGGCTAGGAAGATAATCATCACCTCACCTCAAGAAGGAGATCTCCCAGGCTGCCTGAAGGCAGTGGTAGCATGACTCTTTCTAAGCAAACCTTCCTTGGACCCATTTGGGGTGCATGGGATGTTAGAGGAGGGGTATTACATCTAGTGGGGGACACATCCTGCTCCTTCTGGGGTGGTTTGTCCACCTCTGATCCCCACCCTGCACTCAGCTCTCACCTGTGGCTCCCACAAGCTGTCAGCATGTGACAGCAGCCACACCGCAGGAATGGCTTTGACTGTCCGGCTAAACCAGGTGAGGGTAGTCAATGGGTCTCAAGCCCTCAGTGAGTTAGGGGCTTCCCCTGCATACGAAGACAGGCTCCAGCGGAGACTTCCGGTCGGCGCCAGCGCTAATGGCGGTCCTCTTTCCGAGCTCCGGAAAAGGACTGCCCTGCGAGTTCGGGTCTGTCCCGCTACGGCAAGCGGGGGACCCCTAAAATCACAGGCACGGAAGCCTGTGAACGAGGAGATTCGGTGGGCACCAGGAGCGCCCCCCTTTACCGCAGAAAGAGCCTTTTTAAAGGCTCTGGAACGACATCGGGGAGCGCGGTGCTGAGAATCGCTACCCAGCCCGCAGGGTGAAGCCGCGTCACTATTAGTGGAGAGCGCCGATTCCTTCCTGTAAATCTCGGACAGAAAAAACCCGTGAGTAAAACGGAACGTCTATTTGAAACTAAAATCTGGAAACTAAAATCTGAAAACGGGGAGGTGAAAATTAAGGAAGCCTGCCTTCCCCCGACTGCATGAAAGTGAAAGCAACGAAACTGTAAAGCTGCATTCGTAAGGGACATTGCTTTTGATTAATTAAACCCGACATCTGGACTTTAGATCTCCCCTCTAGCTAGCAGGGCAGAGGGGAGGCAAGAGAGACATTAGTAACTGCATGATCTATTTAAAAGAAAACTCTCTGCTGTCTCAATAACCTGAAACGGTCTGCCTAGTAAGACAATAGGACACTGAACTGACTTCCTCCTGTGAAAGTTACATTGTGACACAAAGTTTCTGCATTGTTTGGCTACAGTATACCAGAGCAGGCTGAGACAGTATCTATTGGGAAACTGTGGCAACTTTTATTTACAAGCCTCCTGCTATACTTGTTTTAAACTTTTCTTCCTTTTTTCTACGTATTTGGACATTCTCTTTGCCTTTGTATTCGGACTTTGCCTTTGTATTCGGACATTTTGATTTGCTCCCCCTAGAGGGTAAAGC